TAGAAATTTTTACATTAACATTAATGAAAAAAAATATATATTTAAACGTATAAGAGAAAATTTTAGAAATGACTTAATTTTAAATGAGTTCTTGCTAATTGACCAGTTTTACATATTCGGCACGACATATATATATATATATATATATATATATATATATATATATATATATATATATATATATATATATATATATATATTCTTGGTAAGTATATTGTGTTTATAACAGATGTTTACCTCACTAAACACCTGATGTTTGACTAATAATGGGTGAAATCAGATTGATTTAAGACGTGTTGAGGAATTTTGTGTTGCAATACACCTGTTGTGTTTCAATAGACGTATTTATGAATTGTGTGTTTCAGTAGACATGTGTATTAATTCTATGTTACAGAAGATGTTATGTGGCACTTCTTTTACGTTCTCCACGAAGCGGTAAACCCGTGCGTTTCATTCAGCGCAAAGAGTGGCGGAGGCTTGACCCTGACTACGGTAGTCGAGAGAGAACCAATCTACCTCTGTGAAATGACAGGTAGTTAAGGAGCAACACTACATGTCTGGTACATCTCTATAACACCTGTCGAGGCAACAGCATCTGCGGCAGTTTCAAGATCTTGTCTCCACGGAGCAGTAGCAAGATCAAGATCCCGTCTCAAATGAGCAGCAGCATCCAATTCTCGTCTCCTAGGAGCAGCAGCATCAAGATCTCATCCCGGCAGCAGCATCCAGATCTCGTCTCCAATAAACAACAGCATCCAGATCTCGTCTCCAATAAACAACAGCATCCAGATCTCGTCTCCAGTAAACAACAGCATCCAGATCTCGTCTCCAGTAAACAGTAGCATCCAGATCTCACCTTCAATAAACATCAGCATCCAGATCTCACCTTCAATAAACAGCAGCATCAAGATCTCATCTCCAAGGAACAGCATCATCAAAAAAAGATGACTGGTTATCTCTTCTCTTCCACCGTCATCGTTCTCATCACTGTATCATCACTGCAACCAACGGAATCAATGGTAGGTGGTCACCAGTCTGTCACCAGCATAGCGGCAGTCTGTCACCAGCATAGTGGCAGTCTGTCACCACCATAGCGGCAGTCTGTCACCAGCATAGTGGCAGTCTGTCACCAGCATAGTGGCAGTCTGTCACCAGCATAGTGACAGTCTGTCACCAGCATAGTGGCAGTCTGTCACCAGCATAGTGGCAGTCTGTCACCAGCATAGTGGCAGTCTGTCACTAGCATAGTGGCAGTCTGTCACCAGCATAGTGGCAGTCTGTCACCAGCATAGTGGCAGTCTGTCACTAGCATAGTGGCAGTCTGTCACTAGCATAGTGGCAGTCTGTCACTAGCATAGTGGCAGTCTGTCACCAGCATAGTGACAGTCTGTCACCAGCATAGTGGCAGTCTGTCATTTCACGAACAGTTTATTCTATCAGATAACTGAAAAGTCTGATCGCTCAATCAGATTATTGTCAGCACTGCTCATTCTGCCAGATAATCGATAAGATGTAAATAAAAAGATAGTAAGTCTAAATTATTAATAATAATTAATAATAATTATTATAATTATTAATAATAATTATTAATAATAATTATTAATAATAATCTGAGATACTTTAGAATTACATTTATAAACAAAATGGAATTGAACGAAGTATTAGCGAATGTAAACAGATTTAGAATTAGAAAGAATTTGAGAGAATACTGGGGAAAATAATTAAGGGGGTATATTATAGAATATAATTAGAGTACTAGTAAATATAATTACACAAATTACTAGAAAAAGAGTAGATAGAGGAAATGTATTTGAATAACATAATCTAGAGACAAATAATTTGATAAGACTAATGGTTTAAGGAATTTTATTGGTGAAACGTATCGCCCACAAGGGACTTCATTAATTGATAGTGTTTGGTGAGCGAAACTATCCTCTCAGTAAAATGCCATAAACCACGTATTACGTTTTATTAAAACTAAAGCAAGAGAGAGAGAGAGAGAGAGAGAGAGAGAGAGAGAGAGAGAGAGAGAACGGGAAGACCGAGGTATCACCGAGCCATTATAAAGGATTAGAAGAAAAGAAGAAAAAAATGCCGCACAAACAAAGTCAGGCGTTCCCATTACTCTCGTTAATAAGAAGTTGCGTAAGTTTTCGCAAAAGAGTTTCAAAAATACGCGATCTTTGTGTAAGATCGTCATTAGTGTCTCGTGAGACGCTGACGACACACACCCCATTTTAAATCATTCTATTTCAACCAACAAGACTTAATTAAGAAAAGAAATCTTTCAGGTCCAGAAATTACTAATGTATATATATATATGTCGTGCCGAATAGGCAGAACTTGCGATCTTGGCTTAAATAGCAACGTTCATCTTGCCATATAGGACAAGTGAAAATTTGTGTATGCAATAATTTCGCCAAAATCATTCTGAACCTAACGAAAAATATATATTTCACTGTGTTTGTTTAGTATTAAATTATTGTAAGAAAATCTAAAATATATTTAGTTGGGTTAGGCTAAAATAAATTGCGCTTCTTATAATAAGGTTAGGTAAGTTTTCTAAGTTCCTTTTGGTGCAAAATTATAAATTTTTACATCAACATTAATGAAAAAAATATATCTTTAAACGTATAAGAGAAAATTTAGGAAGGACTCAATTTTAAACGAGTTCTTGCTAATTGACCAGTTTTACATATTCGGCACGACATATATATATATATATATATATATATATATATATATATATATATATATATATATATATATATATATATATATATATATATATATATATTATAACTATGCAGGAATGAGCAGTTTTGGATTTTTTTTTGTTTTGCTTCCATTGTTAAATACTTGACGATATCCAATTTGCAACTTCGATGGATACGCTAGTTAACAATGTATTTTTGTTTTCAACTTGCAACGGTCATACAGGACACAATAACTGAACAATGAGAACAGGACTGCAGCAGAATGGCTTGCACAAGAACTACACAATAACATGTAATATAGGATAACTGCACGCTAACACGTAGATGAGGATAGCAGCACATTACCATACAGAATAGGATAGCAGCATACTGCAGATGCTCAAAAGATTATTCATTGAAATACTCTTTCTTCTGCAGATCTTCATTCCAACTTTGCCAACTCCTGAAGGACAGGAGGTCCCTGCCACACCCCCCGGCCGCTTTGTCCTGAATATGCAGGGTGTGACCGAGGAGGACTCCCCTGGTGTGCTGACCATAGGCACGGAGGTGCCCTGGAGACTGGCAGGACCTGCAGAAGGCAGTGGGTCGTCAGAGGCGCCCTATGGCACCTGGAGATCACCTGTGACCAGCAGCGTCGTCATGACGCCCAGGGATGTTGTCGTGGAGCCTCCGCAAGTTGATCCTGTCACAGGTAAATGTGTTGTGATGCTTGTAGCGTCAGTGGGTAGCGAGAGATTAGATGGGGTGAGTAGCGAGAGATTAAGAAGGGTGGGTAGCCATAGATTAGGTGGGTTGGGTAACGAGAGATTAGAGGAGTGTTGGGAATTGTGGAGGAGGAGAGTGTGGGTAATGAGTGGAATGAGTAATTAAGGGAACGAGGAATTAGGAAGAAGGGTCAAGGAATTTAGGTAAGAAGAAAAGAGGAGGATAGAGGGATGAACGGCCTGAGCTTGCTACCATCTGCAGCTCATAAGACTGCCATCCCCACGAGCCTCTTTGGGGCGGGGCAGATGGTAGACCAGAGGCCTGGCTTCTTCCTACGAGCCCCGTGTGGGCGGGGAATGTGGCTAGGCCTGGGGACAGTTGGTCCCAAAGATGAGGAGGTACTTGTACCTCCTCATCGAGGGTGAGTGTATTTATTACCTCTTTAATGAGTGGGTGATGGAAGGAGGGATGGAAGGAAGGATGGAGGGGAAGGAAATGAATAAATGATAGAGGGAGGGATCGAAGGATGAAAGGGAAGGATTTAAAGATGGGGTGAATGAGGTAGTAGGAAGAGGTAACTGGTGTCTGGCAAGTGTGATGGAGGTGTGTGAGGGAGTTGGGTGTTGAAAGAGTGGTGGAAGTAGCGGCCCTCAGTGGTACTCTTTTGTGGGCATGTGGCATCCTCAGGGTACCAGTGCCAGGTACTGGTGTCAGGGATCGGGGTAGAGGGGCACGATGTGCCTGCGTGAAGGCGGCCTTTGTCCACCCTATCACCCCTGCACCTACAACTCTGGCACCTACCACCCTGGCACCTACCACCCTGGCATCTACCACTCTTGCCAGACCTGATACCAGATTTAAAGGTCTGTTCTCTCTGCAGTCCGGTCTAAAACCAGGTTTCACTCTTAACCTGGTCAAGCAAACTTTTTGTACTAGCACACCGCAGGCTCACACATTCATCATACCCCGACTGATTCGACACTTACCAGAAGGATGTTTTCTAAGACCCCGAGCGTCCGGGTTCGATTCCCGGCGAGGGTAGGAACATTGGGTGTATACCAATAGTATTGTGCTGTACTTGGTGGTGAATATGGTGCGAGGCGTGTACAAGTGTACACGCCCCGCACCATATTCACCACCATATTCACCACCATATTCACCACCATATTCACCACCATGTTCACCACCATATTCACCACCATATTCACCACACGTCAAGATAGACAAGTGGCTTTGACAAATGCTAGCACACACACACACACACACACACCTGTCATTCCTGACACTAACACAGATTTATAAACAAAGGTCTAAATAACACAGGCTTAAATAATACAGTTTTAAATAACAAAAGGTTTCAATATCATAGATTTCAATACCACAGGTTTACCGCTGCATTTGTTTTAATCCGTCATCATCACAGGCTACGTGTTGTGGTGTGCCGAGCTGAGTTTAGAAGGCAAGAAGAACGCAGTGTTCCACTTCAACCCAGGTCAGTCTCCAGACTCACTTCCTGAAGCTTCAAGACATCCAGCTGCATGATTTCTAACGCTTTGGAATTTATCTTAGACCTGCCTAGTATGGGCCAGTAGACCTCCTGCAGTGTTCCTCCTTTCACAAATTCTTATCTGTAAAATAAACTGAAGGTAAGTCGTGAAGACCGAAGGTAACTGAATAAACAAATGAATGGACGGGGATTCGAACTGCGGTTCTGTAAAACACTCTTCAGAATAGATGTATTTCTTTTCGTTATGTGGTCGTAATTATTCTCTAAAAATATTTAGTATTAAAAATTAATCCATATATTTTTTTTACTGACGTTCAAAATTCGTATTTCCTTATTCATTAATTGATTAAAACCCATCTTTTATTATTTAATAATGTGTGAGAATTTTTATTTTGATTTTTATTATTAAGTTTTCGAAATTAATGTGTAGTAATACAAAGTATTACAAATATCTAAAATTATACCATCTGTTACAATCATACCCACTAATACCATCTGTTACAATCATACCCACTAATACCATCTGTTACAATCATACCCACTAATACCATCTGTTACAATCATACCCACTAATACCATCTGTTACAATCATACCCACTAATACCATCTGTTACAATCATACCCACTAATACCATCTGTTACAATCATACCCACTAATACCATCTGTTATAATCATACCCACTAATACCATCTGTTATAATCATACCCACTAATATTCCATCTGTTATAATCATACCACTAAAAACCATCCTGTTATAATCATACCCTATACCATCCTGTTACAATCATACCCATAATACCACTGTTACAATCATACCCAACTTAAACCATCTGTTATAATCATACCACTAATACCATCTGTTACAAATCATACCCTAAACCATCTGTTATAATCTACCACTAATACCATCTGTTACAATCATACCCAGTAATACCATCTGTTACAATCATACCCAGTAATACCATCTGTTACAATCATACCCACTAATACCATCTGTTACAAACATACCTGGTAATACCCAGTAACACCACCTGTTAAAAACATACCCGGTAACACTACCTGTTAAAAGCATACCCGGTATCACCACCTGTTACAAACATACCCGGTAACACCACCTGTTAAAAACATACCCGGTAACACCACCTGTTACAAACATACCCGGTAACACCACCTGTTACAGACATACCGGGTAACACCAGCTGTTACAAACGTACCCGGTAACACCACCTGTTACAGACATACCGGGTAACACCAGCTGTTACAAACATACCCGGTAACACCTCCTGTTAAAGACATACCCGGTAACACCACCTGTTACAAACATACCCGGTAACACCACCTGTTACAGACATACCTGGTAACACCACCTGTTACAAACATACCCGGTAACACCACCTGTACAGACATACCCGGTAACACCACCTGTTACAGACATACCCGGTATACCACCTGGTACAGACATACCGGTAACCAGCTGTTACAGACATACCGGGTAACACCATCTGTTACAAACATACCGGGTAACACCACCTGTTACAAACATACCGGGTAACACCAGCTGTTACAGACATACCGGGTAACACCACCTGTTAAAAACATACCCGGTAACACCATCTGTTACAGACATACCGGGTAACACCACCTGTTACAAACATACCCGGTAACACCACCTGTTACAGACATACCGGGTAACACCACCTGTTACAAACATACCTGGTAACACCACCTGTTACAGACATACCGGGTAACACCACCTGTTACAGACATACCGGGTAACACCACCTGTTACAAACATACTGGGTAACACCACCTGTTACAAATATACCGGGTAACACCAGCTGTTACAGACACACCGGGTAACTCCAGCTGTTACAAACATACCGGGTAACACCAGCTGTTACAGACACACCGGGTAACACCAGCTGTTACAAGCATACCGGGTAACACCAGCTGTTACAGACATACCGGGTAACACCACCTGTTACAAACATACCCGGTAACACCAGCTGTTACAGACATACCGGGCAACACCAGCTGTTACAAACATACCGGGTAACACCACCTGTTACAGACACACCGGGTAACACCAGCTGTTACAAACATACCGGGTAACACCAGCTGTTACAGACATACCGGGTAACACTAGCTGTTACAAACATACCGGGTAACACCACCTGTTACAGACATACCGGGTAACACCACCTGTTACAGACATACCGGGTAACACCACCTGTTACAGACATACCGGGTAACACCAGCTGTTACAAACACACCGGGTAACACCAGCTGTTACAGACACACCGGGTAACACCAGCTGTTACAGACAACACGGGTAACACCACTGTTACAGACACACCGGGTAACACCAGCTGTTACAGACACACCGGGTAACACCAGCTGTTACAGACACACCGGGTAACATCACCTGTTACAGATACACCGGGTAACACCAGCTGTTACAGACACACCGGGTAACACCAGCTGTTACAGACACACCGGGTAACACCACCTGTTACAGATACACGGGTAACACCAGCTGTTACAGACACACCGGGTAACACCACCTGTTACAGATACACCGGGTAACACCACCTGTTACAGATACACCGGGTAACACCAGCTGTTACAGATACACCGGGTAACACCAGCTGTTACAGATACACCGGGTAACACCAGCTGTTACAGACACACCGGGTAACACCACCTGTTACAGATACACCGGGTAACACCAGCTGTTACAGACACACCGGGTAACACCACCTGTTACAGATACACCGGGTAACACCAGCTGTTACAGACACACCGGGTAACACCACCTGTTACAGATACACCGGGTAACAACAGCGATTACATGACACTCCGGGTAACACCATCTGTTAAGATACACCGGGTAACACCAGCTGTTACAGACACACCGGGTAACACCACCTGTTACAGATACACCGGGTAACACCAGCTGTTACAGACACACCGGGTAACACCAGCTGTTACAGACACCGGTTAACACACAGCTGTTATCATAACACACCGGGTAACACCAGCTGTTACAGACACAGGTAACACCCAGCTGTTACAGACACACGAGTAACACACCTGTTACAGACACACCGGGTAACCACAAACTGTTACAATCATAGCCGACAATTCCACATGTTCTGAACTCAGGTGTTACTAGTAAAAAAAAAGTATTTCTGAAATTAGTTATACAGAATACACCCATTCATGTCATCATTCATGTCATCATTCATGTCATCATTCATGTCATCATTCATGTCATCATTCATGTCATCATTCATGTCATCATTCATGTCATCATTCATGTCATCATTCATGTCATCATTCATGTCATCATTCGCCTGATCATTTGCCTCATCATTCGCCTCATCATTCATCTCATAATAAATCTTTAGAAAATAAATTCAATTCACAATTATCAATTATTATCAACCCATCAATGCACGCCTCATTCAGTCATATGAATTTTTTGATAATAGATATTTGACATTTTGCAGTCTGATAATCTGTATATATAATTATGCATCCAAATTTGCCATAAATTAGAACGTGAATATGTGAAGTTGTCTGAATATTGTTTTCTCCTATCACCTTCTATATTTTATATTCTGTGGATACTTTATTTAAAGACAAAATACAATGACAATAATACAATAGGGAGTAGAGCAACACAGATAACATCTCAGAGCTACATCTCGAATACTTCGTCCAGCTCCCCGGCGGTGGGCCGCGTGCCCAGAATGCTGCAGGCGTTTCCCCTCTGGATTGCAACACTGAGTCTCTGAAAGGGAAGCTGGCCACCCTGTAGTTCTTGGTTTCGATTATGGGTTTTCCACCCAGCTCTTTGAGGAACTTTAGAGCACACTTGCCCCATGCTCCATGGGTCTCTGACCCTATTGAGATGAAGTTATAGCAAGGGGGAAGGTCTTCATATTTGCGGGTCTTCTGGGTCTCCTTGTGACTGACAGCTTCACCCTCTTCAGCTACGGAGTATGGCAAGTAGGTGTCTGCCACTGTGGCGGCACAGGTGTAGTCCCAGGCAATCTGCTTTCCATCCTTCCAGGGTAGCATAGTGGCTCCATCAGGAAGCTTTTGACTTCCGTCTAACCTCTGCACTTGGGGTTCCCGTTGGGCCGGGCAACGGGCTGCAGCGAGGCTTCTCTTTATGATGTCGTTGACTTCCTCATGTCTAGCATACTTCCCTTCTGATGTGTAACACGCAAGACCATGAAGTCCGAGGTGATCAGCCGTCGCACTGCCACAAATGCACCTATGCTCGGTGAGGATGGAGGCGGCTAGGCGACGAGCAACACTAATCCGAATGGCCTGTGGGTCGAGTCGGGTGCCCAGAGAGGAACTGAGAACAGTCAAAAGGAAATCTCCTGAGTGTGGTGCCTTCACCACCAGGAGAGGAGCTGTGTCCTTTCCTGAAGCGTTGGTGAGCATTATGTCGGCGATTTTTTCCATGAACGGTTTGTCCCAGTGGGAGTGTTTGTGCTCTTAGGGAGGAGCTGTACGTGTTCTTCAAACAAACAAACAAGAACAGTCACACAAGAACAGTCACATAAGGTAATTGCTGATGATGATGGTGTAATTGTTTTTGTTAATAATGAAATAAATCAGGAGGAAAGAGAATGAAAACAATAAATTACTAGGAGAGAGTGAGTGAAGAGAGGAGAGAGAGAGAGAGAGAGAGAGAGAGAGAGAGAGAGAGCAAGTGAGCAATTTCCAGTAATAACAGGAGATCTTTCTTCTTGACTCAACTTGTCTTAGTTTACCGAAGACAGTTCTCAGTTGCTGGTGGGAACCCACGTGTTCCTCTTGCCTCTTCTGAGTGGATATACAGCTGTATTCTTGGCGTCTAGATACTGTCCAGTGTTTTATTTGTTTGTAGGAACTGGGCCAATGCTTTCCCTTCTTTCCTCCCTCCTCGTAACGTACTTTTCTGGTCGGGAAACCTTCCATTAAGCGATATTTCTAATATAAGTAACTGAGGATATAATGGTGAAGCCAAAGGTTCTCTTCCCACTCCCCTCCCACTCGGCAACACAGCTGGTAAGGAAGAAAATGGGTAGTGGGGAAAAAAATAAATGAACATGAATAGCGAAAAAGGTTTAATGGGAACAAGGCTGTATTAACATTTTGCCTTTAAGCTTCCTAGGTTGTATTCAGAGGCAGCCAAAAAAAAACGTGAAATGCAAATACAATCCTTTCTCATTAGAGTGTTTGTTAGTCTAGAATTTGTCAGATCAACAGGATTTTTTTTTTTTTTTGCACCCAGCACCAACCATGCCATATTGAACACCGTACGAGACCTCTTTTTTTATATATAAATAATTAAACAAATAAAAATATAAGGAAATATTTTACTGTGTGGGCCTGAGGAAAGTCGACAAATATTTTTTTTTACAAGATGTAATTAAACAAATGAAAGTTGCTAATTAATTATTCACGTGATTATTTTTGAGAGACATGAGTGATAAGGTGATGTTGCAAAAGGTTAGTGTTGTGCAGTGTTCCTCGAGTCGTGTTATGGAAACAGAATATCCGATGAGTGGAACAATCTGCCTAGTTATTGGTGTTAAAACCTTGGCTAGCTTCAAATATAGGTTAGATGAATACATGTTGAAGATTAAGACACATGTGCAACAGTAGGCGTCTTCAGTCAGATACAAAGGTAGCAGTAGATGATGTAATCAGTCCATCAGCCTTGGAGAAAAAGTATTTGAAGTGGTCAGTCCTTCAGCCTGGAGAAGAGTTCAGCTCCATGGAGCTGAACGGCTTGACAAAGCCATAATGGCTTTGCCAAGTCGTTCAAAACAATAAAAGTTCATATTCATGTAGGTTTGCCAGGACGGGTCCTGGCCCGGGTCTTCTCCATGTGGTGACCCGCCAGTGACTCCCGAAGGAGTGTCGGAGTGCAAGTGATGTACCGTTTACAGCCCTATGGCGGAGGCAGCCCTATGACAAGGACACGGTGACGCTTTCAACTCCAACTGAGCCATTCCTGGCACTCAGGCTGCAGCCCGAATGCCAGAACCACTCAGGAGATTGAAGTGTGTTGACCACCTGACGTCGACAGAAGTGTGTGATATGAAGAAAGGACACAGTATATATAGGTACTTGGTCGTGAGGTACAAATCATAATATAAGCATTGTAGGTAGTAATAGTAGTAGCAATATTAGTAGTAGTAGTTGTTGTTGTAACATTTGTGGTGGTAGTAGTAGTAGTAGTAGTAGTGGTTGTAGCACTAGTGGTGGTAGTAATAGTAGTGGTTGCCACAATAAAATGCCACATTAGTTGCACTTGTGTCTCATTACCTAACACATTGTCGGTAATTCTACCAACATTAGGAAAGGGTTTTTAAAAAAGAAAAGGTCCTTGGTCATTTCTGTATTTCTTCTACTTTAGCGAGGAACATTACACCGCTGACAGCCCATTGTTCCCACACACACTACACGCTTAAAGGTCCCTCATTCAGCATTAATGTGATGATCTTCCTGGCTGGCAGCCAGTGACCTTTGCTCGACATACACAGCATGGCCTCACACACGGATAGTTTTGTTTTAATCAAGCTACACTCTTTGTATGAGGAGGAAGAGGGTACATAGAAGTACATGGGAACGACAGATAACAGACGACTTAGATGTACACACCAAAGGCAACCAACCTGCTGGGAACGACAGATAACAGACGACTTAGATGTACACATCAAAGGCAACCAACCTGCTGGGAACGACAGATAACAGACAACTTAAGTACACACCAAAGGCGACCAACCTGCTGGGAACGACAGATAACAGACGACTTAGATGTACACACCAAAGGCAACCAACCTGCTGGGAAGGACAGATAACAGACAACTTAAGTACACACCAAAGGCGACCAACCTGCTGGGAACGACAGATAACAGACGACTTAGATGTGCACACCAAAGGCAACCAACCTGCTGGGAACGACAGATAACAGACAACTTAAGTACACACCAAAGGCGACCAACCTGCTGGGTACGACAGATAACAGACGACTTAGATGTACAAACCAAAGGCAACCAACTTGCTGGGAACGACAGATAACAGACGACTTAGATGTACACACCAAAGGCAACCAACTTGCTGGGAACGACAGATAACAGACGACTTAGATGTACAAACCAAAGGCAACCAACCTGCTGGGAGCGACAGATAACAGACGACTTAGATGTACACACCAAAGGCAACCAACCTGCTGGGAACGACAGATAACAGACGACTTAGATGTACACACCAAAGGCAACCAACTTGCTGGGAACGACAGATAACAGACGACTTAGATGTACACACCAAAGGCAACCAACCTGCTGGGAACGACAGATAACAGACGACTTAGATGTACACACCAAAGGCAACCAACCTGCTGGGAACGACAGATAACAGACGACTTAGATGTACACACCAAAGGCAACCAACCTGCTGGGAACGACAGATAACAGACGACTTAGATGTACACACCAAAGGCAACCAACCTGCTGGGAACTGTTTACTTCTACTGTGATTAAGGACTTTTATCTATTATCTAGGTGTATGAAGTAAGAATAGAAGGCAGAGAGAGAGAGAGAGAGAGAGAGAGAGAGAGAGAGAGAGAGAGAGAGAGAGAGAGAGAGAGAGAGAGAGAGAGAGAGAGAGAGAGAGAGAAAATTAGAAAATAGAGGCACATAAATAGTGACACTACCGATACATTTTCCTAAAATTTTAATCCTGGTCGATGCTAGACCTCTCCAATATACATATTTTATGCACAAAATTTCGAAATTCGCAATATTTTTAACCCCAGTAATTCAGGCATATTGAGGTGATGATGATCTGCGTTTATGTCTTAAAAAGAGAGCTTGTGTGTGTGTGTGTGTGTGTGTGTGTGTGTGTGTGTGTGTGTGTGTGTGTGTGTGTTTATATGTTTGTGTGTGTATGTGTGTGTGTGTGTGTTTATATATATATGTGTGTGTTGGGGTGTGTGTGTGTGTGTGTGTTATATGTGTGTGTGTGTGTATGTGTGTGTGTATGTTTGTGTTTATATGTGTGTGTGTTTGTGTGTGTGTGTGTGTGTGTGTGTGTGTGTGTGTGTGTGTGTGTGTGTGTGTGTGTTTATATGTGTGTGTGTATGTAGTGTGTGTGTGTATGTGTGTGTTTATATATATATTATATATGTGTGTGTGTGTGTGGTGTGTGTGTGTGTGTGTGTGTGTTGTGTGTGTATGTGTGTGTGTGTGTGTGTGTATGTTGTGTGTGTGTGTGTGTGTGTGTGTGTGTGTGTGTGTGTGTGTGTGTGTGTGTGTGTGTGTGTTTAAATATTTGTTGTCTCTTATTTTTATTGTCTATTCTTATTACTTTTTCTTATTACTCACTTTACTACAAGTTTCACCTTCCCTCAAGCATCTGAGTTTTACACTTATTCTAACACACTTAAAACAAACCACTATTTTTTACACTTTACTTCAAAACAAATAAAGAAAACGAACTTTTACGTACTTTTTCTAAAAAAAAATACATAAAACAAACTAACTTTTATATTCCATTTCTAAAAAATACATAAAATAAACTATTTTTAACCATTTCTAAAACCCGTAATTGTCTCGTCTTTTCCAAAAACACGATCTTTCTAAGACCGAAAAAAAAAATGCGTGACAACAGCACCTTTCCCGATACACAGAAACGCGAGAGACGGTACGCTGGACGAGCCAGGTTCACGACGTCAGAAATACCGTGCACGAGCAAGGTGGAGGCGCATTTACCATCTATAACGATACGCTGTTCTTCTCTGATGGCCACGACGGTGCGGTGTACCGTCAGGAGGGACCAGGAGGTGTACCTCGCCGTCTTACCACCAGTAGTAACAGAAAATACGCTGACGGTGCATATTGTCCCCAGGTGAGAGAGAGAGAGAGAGAGAGAGAGAGAGAGAGAGAGAGAGAGAGAGAGAGAGAGACTTAATACGCTAAAAATACAGTCACGGCAGTATAATAGCTGTTGTAAATGCTTCAACTTGTGTTATTGTCACCGCAATGAGACTGCACACACACACACACACACACACACACACACCAACATAGGATCCATACATGGCTTTAAGAGAAGGTACGATAAAGCCCTTGGAGCAGGGAGAGAGAGGGAGTGGACCTAGTAGCGACCATCGAAGAAGCGGAGCCAGGAGCTACTACTCATCCCCTGCAACCAGAAATAAGTGAGTAACACACACACACACACACACACACACACTCATACTCACACCCACACACACACACACACACACACACACACACACACATACTCACACACACACACACACACACTTTATAGGAACACCCAAACCCACAAAGGTCAGGAAGCTTCTGAGGCAATGGGAGTTGAGCAGGTTTGATCCAAGGATCAGGATTAGAACTTTATACAATAAATTAATACCATCTCTCTCTCTCTCTCTCTCTCTCTCTCTCTCTCTCTCTCTCTCTCTCTCTCTCTTCTCTCTCTCTCTCCTCTCTCTCTCTCTCTCTCTCTCTCTCTCTTCTCTCTCTTTCTCCTCTCTCTCTTCACAGTTGAACGGTCTCTTCTATGTTGTGGAGTACCTGAGCTCTTCATCCAAGGACCCGGAGTATGGCATAGTGATGGTGGATGCTGACACAGGCGCTGAGGTCGTCTTTGTCTCCCACGCTAACTTCTTCGCCTCTCCCAGAATCTCCCAGGATGGTCAGCATCTCGTCTGGCTCCAGTGGAACTATCCAAGGATGGTGAGTGAAGTATCTAAGGACAGTGTGTGAGGTAATAATAATAATAATAATAATAATAATAATAATAATAATAATAATAATAATAATAATAATAATAATAATAATAATAATAATAATAATAATAATAATAATAATAATAATAATAATAATAATAATAATTTTAATATTATTGCGGATTCTCTCTTGGAGAGATATTCTCAAGACCTCACTTATATATACTTTACTCGCTTCCTGGCCCCCTTTTACATTTCTCTTGCCCCTATTTATATTCTTTATGCTCTATTTGTATTTATCATTCCCCTATTCATAATCTATTTTCAGCCCTGGGACGACAACAAGATGTTTGTTGGCGAAATTAAAAATAAGAAAGGAAATATTGCCATTACCAAGTTCTTTCAACATGGCAGGTGAGCAGGTGTGTGGCAGGTGTGTGACAGGTGTGTGGCAGGTGTGTGACAGGTGTGTGGCAGGTGTGTGGCAGGTGTGTGACAGGTGTGTGACAGTTTTGTGACAGGTGTGTGGCAGGTCTGTGAGCAAGTGTGTAGGAGATGTATGGCAGTTTTGTGGCAGGAGTTTCGCAGGTGTGAAAAACACAACAGATGTGTTGCACGTGTGAAAGACACAGCAGGTGTGTGACAGGTGTGCTTCAGGTGTGAAGGGCTAAGCAGGTGACATGTGTGGCAGGTGCGAAACATAAGGCAGGTGTTTGACAGGCAGGACCCACGAAGCTAGTGATGAGGAGAGAATGATAATGACATGACTCACGAAATCGTAATGAGTTTCTCTCCCCAGTATGATGATGATATCATTCTCTCCCCAGTACGATAATGACATCATTCTCTCCCCAGTATAATGCCGTCATTCTCTACTCATTATGATGATGCCACCATTCTCTGTCCAGTGTGATGATGCCACCATTCTCTCCCCAGAATGATGATGCCACCATTCTCATCCCAGTATGATGTCATCATTCTCTACTCAGTATAATGATGCCACTATTCTCTTCTCAGTATGATGATGCCACTATTCTCTCCCCAGCATGATAATCTCATCACTCTACCCCAGTATGGTGATGCCAATATTCTATCCCCAGTATGATGATGCCATCATTCTCTCCCCAGTATGGTGATGCCAATATTCTATCCCCAGTATGATGATGCCATCATTCTCTCCCCAGTATGGTGATGCCAATATTCTATCCCCAGTATGATGATGCCATCATTCTCTCCCCAGTATGGTGATGCCAATATTCTATCCCCAGTATGATGATGCCATCATTCGACCAAAATAACGAGCTCTTCTACGTGCACGACTCGACGGGTTGGTGGAACCTGTACCGGGTCACCCGCCGTGGCTTCGAGGTCAACTTGACACCTGAGTCCCAAGAGGTGGGCTGGCCCATGTGGAAGTAAGTGACCTCCCCTCAACCCCTGTTCTACCCCTGTTCTACCCCTGCTCTACCCCTGCTCTACCCCTGCTCTACCCCTGCTCTACCCCTGCTGGGAAAATCAGCTTACTTTTCATAGCTTTTAACTCAAGTTTTTTTCTTTCAGTCTTCCCAGCTTGGAAGCAAAGCTTTTATAACCCTCAATTTTTAATCCAAGCTTCATTACCTCCAGCTGTGAACCTCAGCTTCCCACCCTTAAGCTGTGAATGTTATACTCATTATATAAAATATATATATATATATATATATATATATATATATATATATATATATATATATATATATATATATATATATATATATATACATACATACACACACACGGGGGGAAATTATAGCAACCTCCTGATGATGTGTTGATTGCAACACGAAATGCCTAGAGCTATCATCCAACTCCCCCCTCGTGGCTGCTTTGCACCTTGTATCTCATGTTCGCGATTTTTGCTCAATATATAAGTATATATATATATATGTGTGTGTGTGTGTGTGTGTGTGTGTGTGTGTGTTGTGTGTGTGTTAATAATGTATTATTAACTATAGAATTACATCCAGTATAACTGTTCTCATAGCTAAACAGGTGATAGAGGATCTAAATCTAAATGAATCAATATTCTATGTTAAAAAAAAATCATTCATTTTTTTTTCTGTGGACGCAGACTCGGACGAAAAGCGTACGCGGTAAACCCTCGTGTGGGATCCAACGAAGCGGTCGTTATCTGCGGCAACGTAAAGTAATTATTATTATTAATTATTATTATTATATATATTATTATTATTATTATTATTATTTATTATTATTATTATATATTATATATTATTAATTATTATTATTATTATATTATTATTATTATTATTATATTATTATTATCATTATTATTATATTATTATTATTATTATTATTATTATTATTATTATTATTATTATTATATTATTATTATTATTATTATTATTATTATTATTATTATTATTATTATTATTATTATTATTTTTATTATTATTATTATTATTATTATTATTATTATTATTATTATTATTATTATTATTATATTATTATTATTATTATTATATTATTATTATTATTATTATTATATTATTATTGTGGACTTCTGAAGGGGGTGCCTTGATATTAGTAAGAGGGGTTTTGATCTAAGGAACTGGAATTATCCTGCCTGTCCTTGGACTGTACCCAGGAGCAATAGGAGCCGTGTGGATTTAACGCTTTCCACCTGATTAAATTAAATCCAATAACACCTACTCCCTGTGTGGATGACGCCATGCTAGAAGCGGTCGAGGCTCGATCCTCCGTCAGTAATTGCTCTGACTTCATCTCCAGGATCTGACTGTCGTGGACCTGCTAAAAGAGAAGCGGAGAATCATTAAGACTGGATACACCAGTTACAGTCAGGGTGTGGCTTACTCCCTGGACGGTAGTAAGGTAAGAACTACAGTGTTTGTACAGTCGTGTCTTACACTGTGGTGTACACACACTCTCTTCTACCGTGTCTGTATATCACTGATACAGTCATGTCTTACACTGTGGTGCACACACACACTCTCTTCTACCGTGTCTGTATATCACTGATACAGTCATGTCTTACACTGTGGTGCACACACACTCTCTTCTACCGTGTCTGTATATCACTGATACAGTCATGTCTTACACTGTGGTGCACACACACACTCTCTTCTACCGTGTCTGTATATCACTGATACAGTCATGTCTTACACTGTGGTGCACACACACTCTCTTCTACCGTGTCTGTGTATCACTGATACAGTCATGTCTTACACTGTGGTGCACACACACTCTCTTCTACCGTGTCTGTATATCACTGATACAGTCATGTCTTACACTGTGGTGCACACACACACTCTCTTCTACCGTGTCTGTGTATCACTGATACAGTCATGTCTTACACTGTGGTGCACACACACTCTCTTCTACCGTGTCTGTATATCACTGATACAGTCATGTCTTACACTGTGGTGCACACACACTCTCTTCTACCGTGTCTGTATATCACTGATACAGTCATGTCTTACACTGTGGTGCACACACACACTCTCTTCTACCGTGTCTGTATATCACTGATACAGTCATGTCTTACACTGTGGTGCACACACACTCTCTTCTACCGTGTCTGTGTATCACTGATACAGTCATGTCTTACACTGTGGTGCACACACACTCTCTTCTACCGTGTCTGTGTATCACTGATACAGTCATGTCTTACACTGTGGTGCACACACACTCTCTTCTACCGTGTCTGTGTATCACTGATACAGTCATATCGTACACTGTGGTACACACACACTCTCTTCTACCGTGTCTGTATATCACTGATACAGTCATGTCTTACACTGTGGTGCACACACACTCTCTTCTACCGTGTCTGTGTATCACTGATACAGTCATATCGTACACTGTGGTACACACACACTCTCTTCTACCGTGTCTGTGTATCACTGATACAGTCATGTCGTACACTGTGGTACACACACACTCTCTTCTACCGTGTCTGTATATCACTGATACAGTCATGTCGTACACTGTGGTACACACACACTCTCTTCTACCGTGTCTGTGTATCACTGATACAGTCATATCGTACACTGTGGTACACACACACTGTCTTCTACTGTGTCTGTGTAACACTGATACAGTCATGTCGTACACTGTGGTACACACACACTGTCTTCTACCGTGTCTGTGTAACACAGATACAGTCATATCGTACACTGTGGTACACACACACTGTCTTCTACCGTGTCTGTGTATCACTGATACAGTCATATCGTACACTGTGGTACACACACACTGTCTTCTACCGTGTCTGTGTAACACTGATAAAGTCATATCGTACACTGTGGTACACACACACTGTCTTCTACCGTGTCTGTGTAACACTGATACAGTCATGTCGTACACTGTGGTACACACACACTGTCTTCTACCGTGTCTGTGTAACACAGATACAGTCATATCGTACACTGTGGTACACACACACTGTCTTCTACCGTGTCTGTGTATCACTGATACAGTCATATCGTACACTGTGGTACACACACACTGTCTTCTACCGTGTCTGTGTATCACTGATACAGTCATATCGTACACTGTGGTACACACACACTGTCTTCTACCGTGTCTGTGTAACACTGATACAGTCATGTCGTACACTGTGGTACACACACACTGTCTTCTACCGTGTCTGTGTAACACTGATACAGTCATGTCGTACACTGTGGTACACACACACTGTCTTCTACCGTGTCTGTGTATCACTGATACAGTCATATCGTACACTGTGGTACACACACACTGTCTTCTACCGTGTCTGTGTAACACTGATACAGTCATGTCGTACACTGTGGTACACACACACTGTCTTCTACCGTGTCTGTGTAACACTGATACAGTCATGTCGTACACTGTGGTACACACACACTGTCTTCTACCGTGTCTGTGTAACACTGATACAGTCATGTCGTACACTGTGGTACACACACACTGTCTTCTACAGTTTCTGTGTAACACTGATACAGTCATGTCGTACACTGTGGTACACACACACTGTCTTCTACCGTGTCTGTGTAACACTGATACAGTCATGTCGTACACTGTGGTACACACACACTGTCTTCTACAGTTTCTGTGTAACACTGATACAGTCATGTCGTACACTGTGGTACACACACACTGTCTTCTACCGTGTCTGTGTAACACTGATACAGTCATGTCGTACACTGTGGTACACACACACTGTCTTCTACAGTTTCTGTGTAACACTGATACAGTCATGTCGTACACTGTGGTACACACACACTGTCTTCTACCGTGTCTGTGTAACACTGATACAGTCATGTCGTACACTGTGGTACACACACACTGTCTTCTACCGTGTCTGTGTAACACTGATACAGTCATGTCGTACACTGTGGTACACACACACTGTCTTCTACCGTGTCTGTGTAACACTGATACAGTCATGTCGTACACTGTGGTACACACACACTGTCTTCTACAGTTTCTGTGTAACACTGATACAGTCATGTCGTACACTGTGGTACACACACACTGTCTTCTACCGTGTCTGTGTAACACTGATACAGTCATGTCGTACACTGTGGTACACACACACTGTCTTCTACAGTTTCTGTGTAACACTGATACAGTCATGTCGTACACTGTGGTACACACACACTGTCTTCTACCGTGTCTGTGTAACACTGATACAGTCATGTCGTACACTGTGGTACACACACACTGTCTTCTACAGTTTCTGTGTAACACTGATACAGTCATGTCGTACACTGTGGTACACACACACTGTCTTCTACCGTGTCTGTGTAACACTGATACAGTCATGTCGTACACTGTGGTACACACACACTGTCTTCTACCGTGTCTGTGTAACAATCAAAATAACTCACATTATATTTACGTCCATTTATTGTATTTAATCTTCAAAAAAAAAAAAAAAAGTTTACGATCGAACTATGAATATGCAAATCATCCCTGTAGCCCTACCTATATCATTCAGTTAGTGAGAGAAACGTCGTGAACTGATTGAAAAAGCGTCATCTTCCTCCACGACAAGTCACCAGCCATCAAAACATTGCTCACTACATTTTGCAAAACTGGGAAATGGAAATGCAAGGGATGTTGGATAATCTGGGAGACTGTATTGAACGTGGTGATCAATCCAGATGATATGATCAATCCATCAACTTTGAAGAAGTAATTTTAAATTGGTCGGTCCCTTGTATTGAGACTCCTATCTTTTGGTTTGGTTTCAGGTGTATGTGGTGGCGGGTGACGGAGTTCGATACCCGGGCCTGGTGGAAGTGGTTGTGGAAACCGGTGAGACAAGGGAGGTGAGTCCTGTGTCTCAGGTTCAGGTCGACGCTGGTTACCTCAGCACAGCCAGGCTCATCCAGTTCCCCACCAGCCAGGGTGACTTTGCTTACGGTTACCTCTACATGCCCAAGGTTAGTGGAACCTCGAGTGAGGGAGAGAGACAGGTGGCCCAGTGGTTAACGCACTGGCCTGTGAGTTTTAGTACTCACTCGCCATGGGTTCGATCCCTAACCCGTTCCTTGATTTGTTTGCAATCGTGTCATTACGATTTCGTGAGTCAGAGAATGTATGTTTGTATCTCCTGAAACCGGTCTCATTGGTGACCACTCAAGTTATTTAAATATTCGTAGGCTCTCGTGAATTAGATTTATCGTCCCATTAAAAAAAATTTAATCCCTTCTCAATATATTCCTCTTATGTTTTTTTTTTTTTATTCGCCGGTACTCTCCCGGCCCGGGTCTTTTCCAAGTAGTGGTGACCCGACCTTGGCTCCCTATCTGGGGAGTGTCTCGAGACGTAAGTCTCCCATTGGAGGAGGTACAAGTACCCCTTCATCTTTGGGACCAACTGTCCCCAGGCCTAGCCACAGTCCCCGCCCTCACGGGGCTCGTAGGGAGAAGCTAGGCCTCTGGTCTGCCATCTGCCCCGCCCTAAAGGAGCTCGTGGGGACGACAGTCTTACGAGCTGCAGATGGTAGCAAGCGCCAATGTGAAAAAATAATGAGTTTCCAGGCGTTTTCGTGATTTCTCACATTATCAAGAAATTTGTCTCAGTTCCTTGATAATGTGAGGAATCACGAAAACGCTTGGAAGTATGACTAAAGATATAGTTTCTAACCCACGAGTGTGGGTGTACGCACACGGCTATTTGATATGAGTAGTATCTGCCGTGCTTCTCTACCCTCGTGTTTACATGTTGTTCCTGCTGTTGCAGAACAGTGACTACCACGCCCCTGCTGGTAGCAAGCCTCCCCTGCTGGTGAAGGTTCACAAGGGTCCCACCAGAGCCGCCTCCAGCGTGCTCAATATGCAATACCAGTTCTTCACCTCCAGAGGTTTCGCCGTCCTCGACGTTGACTACCGTGGCAGTACCGGCTATGGCAAACTCTACAGGAATAAACTGAACGAGATGTACGGTGTTGTGCTGACTGGCTCTCCCTCTCTTCCTTCCTCTAGCACTGTAAAACTTTACACAATCACAATCCCAAATAACCATTCAACCTAGTTGAATGGCTATACCCTAGTCTGTGGTCACATGCGTATGGAAATCTCTCTCTCTCTCTCTTCTCTCGCTCTCTCTCTCTCTCTCTCTCTCTCTCTCTCTCTCTCTCTCTCTCTCTCTCTCTCTCTCTCTCTCTCTCTCTCTCTCTCTCTCTCTCTCTCTCAAGCTTTCTACAGAGTCTGTATCTTTGCTAATAGACGGTTTTCTGTTATTAAAAATATTTAGTTTCAAGTTGCATGAGCCTCCCAGTTGAGCATAGCTTCTGTACGCTGCTGTCCTGCATGGCGTTTAGCAAACAGAGGATCGAGCCTCCACTACTTGCGCAGAATGATCCACACCAGCATAGCGCACAACGTAAACGAATAATTAACATGTATGCACCAAGAGGTATATATCAGTGTATATCCACTGACACACTTAAGCTCCATCATAGGTATTAAAATATTCTTGACTGGTAAAGTAGTTTGCATGCAGCCTTAATGACCCTCTCATAGTCGATAGGCATCAAACCCAATTAACCAGGTGGGGCGTGTACGACGTTGCCGACGTACTGGCTGGTGCCAGACACCTGGTGGAGGAGGACCTGGTCGATGCTGACATGTTGTGTATCGACGGCGTCTCCACTGCTGCCTACACTACACTCTCCGCTCTTACCATCCCCGAGACTCTCTTCAAGGCTGGTAAATGAAGCAAGGAGAGGAGGAGCCAGAAAAATGCAGGAAAGATAAAAAAAAAATGAAGAATGCCATTTTTTTCAAAATATAATGAATAAGATAATGGTAGAGTTTGCATTACTAAAAATTAATAATTTGTATTAACTACTTATCCAGGTGCTTAATTAACTACGTAATGCGGTTACCTGCAGTGTCGATATGTGCACTGAGAGGTGTGTATCTGTCAGTGTATATACACTGAAAGGTGTGTATCTGTCAGTATATATACACTGAGAGGTGTGCATCTGTAAGTATATATACACCAATAGTTTACTTTGATATCCATTTTAAGGTTAAAATCTTCTCAAAGTGTGCAGGTACAGAATTACCTGCGGTACGTCGTTAATAACCCACGTTCAGTAGATAGGTTCTAAATCTTACAAATTAAGTTGAAAAAAAAGTAATAGGGAGTCGATTAGAGGACGGAAGATCGAGCCTTCACCAGTCCTTGTAACGAATAACCAAAGTAAATTTAGTACGTAAAATACCCATTTTTCCCTTCGCCTTCAGGTGCTAGTTTCTACGGTGTGTCTGACCCTGAGATGCTAGTGAAGAATGCTAGCAAGGTTAAAAGGAACTACGTGGAGACTCTCCTAGGTAACCTGGACAAGCACAAGGATCGCTATGTCACCAGGTCTTCCTTAAGAAACCACGAGACGCTGGAGGTCCCGACCATCTTCTTTCACGGCACTGATGATGAGGTTAGCAGCAGGCGAGTGTGTATGAGGTACTTACCGAATATAAGGCTCGACCCCACGGCACACTAGTTCCACAACTAGCAGGCCAGTGCGCTAGCCACTGTACCGTGGCGACCTAAAATGAATCGTTCCACTTGGTGTCTTCCCGTACACCAGCGCACTGCTAGGTTTAAGACTGGTTTTCCATTGGTTCGAACTCTCCGCTCGGAGAATTTTGTTTACAGTTGTGTTATTTTGCTTGTTGTTCATTTGGGTATTGCTTTTGTGTATTATGTAGACACTGTATTATATGCCAGTCTTGTGTGTATGTGTTTCTGCTATGTTAATTTGGCCAGTATGTACGTGTGTGTGTTTATATTTTGTGCATGTGTTGTAAGTAAATTTTATGTTCTTGTAGTTTGTATGTGTACACACTCATACATTTTGTATGTGTACACACTCATACATTTTGTATGTGTACACACTCATACATTTTGTATGTGTACACACTCATACATTTTATGTGGATATAGTGTGTGTTTGTGTATGTGGTACACTATGTTTTATGTGGTTTGTGTGTGTGTGTGTGTGTGTGTGTGTGTGTGTGTGTTGTGTGTGTGTGTGCGCGCTCGCTAACAAAACTGCTAAGTCTCTGTGATTTACTTGGATTTTACATTCTACAAAATATTCAATAACCTACTTTACCAATTCCACCCATTTTCTTCACCCCATCATTCCACCAGTCATTACTCTTCCCTCGTGCACCCGCCCTTGTATAACCACACACCTCTGTTAAGCTCCTCAGCATTGTATTATTCTAACAGTGCAACACTTCCTGGCCTCTCCTCTCAATATTCCCTCGTAATTCACCTTACCATTCTTCCTATACTTGCTCAGACTTCCACCTAATCACCTCATTCACTTGTAATTATCTTTTCCCCTCCGAAGTAACTTTCCCTATATTCCTCCTGTATATTACTATAGCCACTAGTGAAAAACAATCAGTAATCAGTGGTCTATATTTTTTATAAAAAATTTTTAAACCTGTGTGATTCGTTCAACACAAGGAGTGGAGGATGTTAGATGCCCTCACACGCTAATTCACAGAGAGACGAGTTATCTAACTATACTAACTTAGTTGTCTAGAAACACAAACTAATCACTCAGAAGCCCAGCTCAGTCATGTGTATTCCTTCAGGTGGTTCCTCCAAGCCAAGCCAGGGAAATGTACGAGATGGTGAGGAACAAGAGTATACCCACCGCCTTCTCCTCTTCCAAGGTAAATTACCCACAGTTTATACCAGGTTCTTCGACGACAGCAGAACAAGAGCAATACTCCATCACTGTCTGTGGGGTGAGATGAGGTCTCCTTCAAAACGTGAACTGAGTAGCAGTTGGCGGCTTTGCCAAGATCCCAAATTCTACAGTATGTGACATGATGGATGACCACATTGTAGGTACCTCGTGGTACAGTGGTGGAGCTGCTGGTGTTTTGACACACACCACACAACACACATACACACACACACACACACACACACACACACACACACACACACACACACACACACACACACACACACACACACACACACACACACACATGAAACGGACCCACCACACCACTCGACCACACACGCACCTCAACATGACACACACACAAATATGTGTTGCGCCGAATAGGTAAAACTGGTCAATAAGCAAGAACTCATTTAAAATTAAGTTCTTTCTAAAACAAATTCTTATGTGTTTAAAGATATAGTTTTTCATTTATGTTAATGTAAAAATTAATAATTTTGTACCGAAAGAACCTTAGAAAACTTACCTAACCTTATTACAACAAGCGCAGTTTAATTTAGACTAATACAACTAAATATATTTTAGATAAGTTCACAGTAATTTAATAATAAACAAACAATTAGAATGATTTTTACGAAACTGTTACATACACAAATTTTTGCATGCCTTATTCGGCAAGAAGAGTGTTGCTAATTTTACCTATTCGACACGACATATATATGTTGTATTGGAGTGTTCGTTTTCTGTGTATATTTCTGTGTATTTTTGTATACTAAAATAATTAATTTTTTTCAGGATTTGAATTTTTTCACACAATTTCTCTTCTGAGTTTCTCTTTTGTTGTTTTTATAAATTTCTTTGTTGGCTTTCTTTGTGACTGTCATTGTGCACTTTGTTATGAGTTGCATGAATGAAGAGATAAAAACCACTTAAATTCTTGCCCTACCTACTTTCCTCATTGTCTACCTTCCACGCTACTTCCCTGTCTACTTACCAACATACTTTCCTCCTCTCTTATCTCTTCCTGTCGGTATATCTCTCCCTCCTTCCTTCTCTACGTCTTTCAGTTTTATTTTACTTTGCTCCGTCTTCAAGAGGGAGCTGAACAGATGCCCAAAGTCAGTGCTATATCAGCCGGGCTGTGGTTCGTACGTTGGACGTACGTTCGTAACAGCCTCGTTGATCAGGCCCTGATCCACCAGGAGGCCTGGTCATGGACTGGACCGCGGGGGCGTTGATCCCGGAATGCCCTCCAGGTAGACTCCAGGTAGACTCCAGGTAGACTCCAGGTAGACTCCAGGTAGACTCCAGGTAGACTCCAGGTAGACTCCAGGTAGACTCCAGGTAGACTCCAGGTAGACTCCAGGTAGACTCCAGGTAGAAATCCAGGTAGACTCCAGGTAGACTCCAGGTAACTTACCTCCACCTAGTACCTCCCATTGACCCAAAGGTTTAAACTAAGGTAATCATAATGCAATGCTAGACACCATACACCAATTATGACTCCGGGAGACTCCAGGTAGACTCTCACAGTATCCTTTTCCATCACTAGAATTTTACCAGGTATCTCCAGGTGAGGCTCCGGTAAGACCTGACCTTGCCCTAAAATCAGCTGAGTACTCTCATTTTCGCCCATGGAGTTAAACTAATGTATAAAAGTGACGTATGCACCCATATACTTTTGTTATGTGTATTTTATTTTCAGGTAATGTTCTCAAAAGTTCTCTTTATTCTTTTTGTTGTACTTTCGACCTCACTCTTATTTCTCACATAATGAGGTCTACGTCATTTAACAAGATTAATACTTTCATGAAACTCGGAAGCGATTATGTTTTCCCCGTTTAACCCCACACTGCTGAGCTTTTACCATTGACATAAGCAGGCAATTGTATTATCTCATATTTTTAGCAAACTGTACTTCTAGTTATTGGTTTCCCAAGTTCTCTCTTCGGGAGTGACGTTACGACAGGGCACTTTTATTACGTTGAGAAAGAGACTAATGCAACATTTACGCTAAGGATTTAAAAGTTTACTACACAGTGAACTTTCAGGAATGGAAGATTATTTCAGTTTATATCATCCCTACAGCTTTTACCTAAATTCACATTAGCACAGTAATAGAGCTATTATCCTAAATAATTTAAAAGCTAAGAAATTTGTCCCTTATGTCAACTTATTGGTAACCCATTTCTGCCCATAAAACCACAAGTATTTAAATTAGTTTTCCATAAATGAGACATATGCAACATTGGCGATCTTGATATTCTGGAAACATGCCAATAGATAACCTTCAGTTTGAATGTTGGTAGTAATGGAGTAGTTTAGTAAACATCCCCATAAAAGATAAGCTCAAATAATACTTTTTCAGACAGTTTTTAAAAGACCAAGATTATTAATTAAACTCTCTATATATATTTCATAATAAACATTAAACTATAAGGTAATACTTTCTGAGCATAACATAGATTAAATTTTTATTATTATTAGGTAATATAGATTATTTGGATATTAGGGAGTCTTATGATTATCATGATATTACTTAATTTGATTAATTTGTTTTTTTATTTTTTTGATATTTTGTAATTATTATTATTGATATTACCATTTTTAAAATTTTGAAGCTATATTATTATTATTTTAATTATTATGTTTTTATTTTGCCAGTTTTTAAAGATTTACTGAAATTTAAAAAAACATTTAAATTTGTTTAAATGAGATATTTGCAAAAAAATTATTATATTAAATTTTATTGTCTTTTCATTATAAAAATATTATTATTATTATACTATTTATTATTATTATTGCATATTTGTTTAAATTTTATTATTATAATTATGATTATATAATTGTTATTATTTTTAATTATTATTTATTCAATCTCATCTATTTCTTCATGTCATATTTTCTCTACTGCTCATTATCTTTTATGCTCATCATCTTCCTTATGCTCATTCATCTTAACGCTTTACTGTAACCCTTCCCTTAATGCATTATTTCTTAGTGCTGGACTGGAAATTTTAACAACATGATAAAAAGGCTTCCCATCTTTACTTTTCCTTTTCACTGTAAACATTATCTTCCTTCAAAATTTCATTTTTCTCTCAATGTGTTCAACATTTTCTATGTATCATTTTTATGGCATTTCTCCACTGCCCACTCATCTTCCCTCTCACTGCCCACTCATCTTCCCTCTCACTGCCCACTCGTCTTCCCTCTCACTGCCCACTCATCTTCCCTCTCACTGCCCACTCGTCTTCCCTCTCACTCCCCACTCATTTCCCTCTCATTTGCCCACCATTTTCCCCCTTCACTGCCCACTCATTTTCCCCTTCACTCCCCACTCATTTTCCCCTCTCACTGCCCACTCATCCCCCTCTCATGCCCACTATTTTCCCCTCTCACTCCCCACTCATTTTCCCCTCTCACGCCCACTCGTTTTCCCCTCTCATGCCCACTCGTTTCCCCCATCCCCACCATCTTCCCCCTCACTCCCCACCGCCCTTCCCTCTCACCCCCATTATTTTCCCCTCCACTGCCCCTCGCCCCTTCCCCTCACGCCCACTCATCTTCCCCCCTCACTGCCACTCGCCTTCCCCTCATGCCCACTATTTCCCTCTCACTGCCCATCGTCTTCCCTCTCACTCCCCACTCATCTTCCCCTCCTGCCCACTCGTCTTCCCTTCACTGCCCACTATCTTCCCCTCACGCCCACTCTCTTCCCTCTCACTCCCCACTCGTTTTCCCCTCTCACTCCCCACTCTTTTTCCCTCTCACTGCCCACTCGTCTTCCCTCACTGCCACTCGTTTCCCTCTCACTGCCCACTCATTTCCCTCTCACTGCCCCCCACTTCCCCCACGCCCCCCGTCTTCCCCTCCACTGCCACCGTCTTCCCTCTCACGCCCCTCGTCTCCCCTCACTCCCCACCGTTTTCCCTCTCACTCCCCACTCTCTCCCCTCACCCCACCGTCTTCCCCTCACTGCCCACTCATTTTCCCTCTCAGCCCACTCGTCTTCCCTCTCACTCCCCACTCGTTTTCCCTCCACTGCCCACTCTTCCCCCTCTCACTGCCCACCCCCCCCTTCATGCCCACTATCTTCCTCTCACTCCCCACTCCGTTTTTCCCTTCCTGCCCACTCGTTTCCCCTCCCCCCACTCATCTTCTTCTAAATGCCCACTGTCTTCCCTCTCATGCCCACCATCTTCCCTCTCCCCCCCACTCATCTTCCCTTCCTGCCCACCATCTTCTCCCACTCCCCATCGTCTTCCCCCTCACTGCCACTCGTCTTCCCTCTCACGCCCACCATCTTCCCCTCCACTGCCCACTCGTTTCCCCCTTTCACTACCCATCATCTTCCCCTCACCCCCCTCGTCTTCCCCTCTCACTGCCCACTCATCTTCCTCTCACTCCCCATCACTTCTCCTAAACGCCCACTGCTTCCCCTCATGCCCCTCGCTTCCCCTCATCCCATTTCGCTTCCCTTCATACCCACCATCTTCTCTCTCACTGCCCACCTCTTCCCTCTCACTGCCCACTGTTTCCCCCTTCCACCCCCTCGTCTCCCTCTCACTGCCCACTCATCTTCCCTCTCACTGCCCATCGTCTTCCCTCTCATGCCCACTCGTCTTCCCTCTCACTCCCACTAAACTTTCTCTCACTGCCCACCGTCTTCCCTCCACTCCCTACTCATCTTCTCTTCACTACCCACTCATCTTCCCTCCACTACCCCTCGCTCCCTCTCACCCCCCCTGGTCTTCCCTTCATCCCATCATCTTCCCTCCATGCCCACTCGTCTTCCCTCTAAACTGCCCCCTCGTCTTCCCCTCACTGCCCCTCATCTTCCTCTCCTGCCCACTCGCTTCCCCTCTCACCCCCACTCATCTTCCCCTCTCACACCCACTCGTTTTCCTCTCACTGCCCACTGTCTCCCTCTCACGCCACTCATCTTCCCTCTCACTCCCCACATTTTCCCCTCTCATCCCCACTCATCTTCTCACTGCCCACTCACTTCCCTTTCTTTGCCCACTCATTTTCCCCTCTCACTTGCCCACCATCAGGGCATTTCCCCCAGAGTTTGAA